GGATAAGCGAGCATGCAATCTATCCAGTCAGCGAATCCACCGATTCGAAGGAGTGTTGGCCCCCTTGCAGGTATGGTTGGTCCAACTTCCAAGTACTCCAACTACTGTAGGTAGTATCCATACTTCCAAGGTCCTTTGAAGACACCGATCAAAACGGCGGTGATAATCCTCCAACTTTGACGATCGGACCAGTCTGGAATGGGAAAGGGCCCTTAGGGGTTCGCCTGTTCAAGACTCAGAATTGAGGCTGAAAATATATTCCAGCCATGATGGTCACATCAGCAGCGCCACATGTTGTTAATGCGTCCGCTGTCCACTCCTTTGCCGTATAGGCGTCTCTTCTCCAATAGACACCATCATACTCGTCCTGTTGGTGGCTTCATCTCGAAAAACGAAAACTCAAAAAGATGAGGACAGGTAGTGTACATCGTACGGTTGGGGACTGAAGTACTTCGCCATCAGGATTAGCAGTGTCTCATTACTAAGAGTTCATTTTCTGGAAGAAAACCGGATTACTTTGAGCTTTCATAGCAAATTTCCTGATGCTGACGAGGAATCCCGGTAGAATACGGCTGTGCTGTGTTTTACAAATACGCTTCGCTTCCAATCTGTCGGATCCCCGAGGCCACCTGATCTTCTCTAGCTTTCTCATGGGCTTGCACTTTAAGTTCTCGAACACGAGGGTTCTATATGACAGATGAAGGATATCGAACGGAATGTAAATGGCTATCATCCGGTTCGAGTCGATCGTGGTTCAGAAGACTACGCCAGTAGGTTAGGCGTTCCATCTCTCGCACTACTACTTCCAAGTACCTTCTTCGTCGTCTTCCGCGCCGGTTCTCTTCATTAACATCGCCGTGTCTAGCCTCATCCAAGCCTTGCTCGATTCAATCGCTTTATTGAACCGCAACGGGACTTACATCCGAGGCCTTTTCGTCAACACTGAACTGAAACAGAGAATGATGACAATCCTTAATTGCGCTGGACTGTTCGGCTAGAACCTTGGATATCGCCGTCCTGGATCAATCTGAAGGAAGCATAACAGTTGATTTGAGGGTTCGCATTTTCCTAGGGTTTGACATTGATTGTAGTTGTACCGTCACGGCTTGGCGAGAAGATATTTCTCGATTTGGGTCCAGACCTGATGATCTCTTCGCTATCAATTGCTTGAACTTTCTGGTGCGAGAGAAATGCAGAACATGATATCATACCCTATACCGGTCTTCCCTGGTCGAAGTCGCACTATTTCCTACCCTGGTAAAACGGCCGCATTGCCCCGGAATCTCGACAGACTTTTTCGTTCCCTTGCCCTCCGAAGATCATCCAATTTACCCGTTGAACTAAGACACTACCACATTCGGCTGACCGATTGATGGAAATTTCTAAATTTATGCGTCTAGGTTCTAGGCGATGTCACCTTAACTATAATATCGTCCATCGCATCGCCATCGCCGCTTTGCCACTTGACAGGGGAAACTATCAATGCCCCCACGTTCCAGGACCAGAACGGTCGGATTGCACTAACATGGCTTCACAAGCATTTTCCTGATAGGGACCTCGGAAGAGCCGTCCGATTCGCTTCCATTCGATGGCTGCTTGATACACTATGTTGTTATTGCTTCAATGCAACTCTGCTATGAGCCAATGGCCGCAATCCGCCTCGTTTTATGAGACATGATCTCATGTCTTATGTCGAAAAATCTGGGAAACATGACGGCGAGTCCTGATTGACTTGCGAAATGTCGCATATCAACTGCACTCACCGGGCGCAGAACAGGGATTGTCATCCCTGCGCATCAATTGAGACGGCGCAGCATTTCGACCCCTCGATGAGTCCATGGATTGAGGTGTTATCCACACATATTAGGGTAATTGATGTTATTATGTCGTGAGCACAGCGTTGCGTTAAGGATGCGTAGCAAGCTCTGGTTGGTTCTTGCTTATATTGAGGCTGGCTGCCAAATACGAGTCTCCCGGGGTTCTCTCGAGATCAAGCGTCCCTCGACTGAGTCCAGACACTGTCACGTTGTTCACTTATGCTTACCTCGATAGATCAAGTTGAGGTTTGCTCAAGCGACAGGCCGGCCTTACAACCAATTGGGGCAATCAATGGTGGTTGGCATAGAACGCCATGGCTGCACTACCTGCTTCGAGTTGCTCGTGACACACTGGGGATAGGATGTCCAACGGGATAGAAAGCCTCTCCAGTTGTCCACCTGACTTACATCTACCACGGTTCGTCCCTCAAAATTAGGCATAGCCAGGTGCCAACGCAGAGGTGTGCTAGGTTCGTGCTTTTGTCGAGCTCATATCTGCGATGCACTATGGGCTTTTAGACATGCATCTCCGCGTAGAGTCATCAGCTATGCTCGTATGGCAGCGTAACGAATGGTACTTGCGAACTGGGGTATGAAAGGATCAATTATTTTGGTGATAGGTATGAAACAGAAGGTGAAGGTTAAGGTGAAGACCAAACAGTCCGAATGGATCTCGATCACATGATCTCCTGAACCGGGCAGGCCAGCGATAAACAATTTTCTAGTTATCGGCTTTATCTTGAAGGGGGCAGTGTTGACAATCACATCAGCTACACCAACAACAACTACTACTACTCAATTGACAAGTCACGATCGCAGAGATACTCGCGCCTCGAGAGTCTGACTACATGTCTGACAGGGATTCCCAAAATGACCTGCAAGACAAGGTCTTTGTCTTGGTAACCGGTGCCAACAGGTATTGTACATTTCTCCGCATCCCCTCCCCAGGGGGTAAATTTGCAGTCGCATACCATAATTCATCGTTTCCTAACGTGTTGTTCCTCTCCTTGGTTGCAATTCTCTCATTACAGTGGTCTTGGTTTCTCAATCTGCTGTCGACTGGTGGATGAATTCTTGAAATCTCACCGACATCCCCGCGAGTCTCTGACCGTTATTTTCACCACGCGGAGCACCAAGAAGGGAAATGACACTCTCCTTCGCCTACAGGATCATCTTCGGCGAACCTCTGCCTCTGTCTCTGCTCCCGCCGCAGCATCAGCACGAGTCACCTTTGTCCCCGAGAACGTCGACCTGTCGAACCTCGTCTCCGTCCGGGCCCTCTCCCGCCGACTGAACCAGACCCTCCCCAAACTCGATGCGATCGTGCTGAACGCCGGCCTGGGCGGATGGACGGGCATAAACTGGCCCAAGGCAATCTGGGGCGTTATGACGGACCTCGTGCACGAAGTCTCCTGGCCATCCTTCAAGATCGCGCCCGCGGGGATGGTGACGGATCCCCAGACCGCACTGGGCGACGACAAGGAACCGCGTCTCGGCGCGGTCTTCTGCGCGAACGTCTTCGGCCACTACATGCTAGCACACAACGTCATGCCGCTGCTGCGACACTCTGACACGCTCCACGGGTCCGGCCGCATCATCTGGGTCTCCAGTCTCGAGGCGACGGTGAAGCACCTCGACATCGACGACATCCAGGGCCTCCGCACCCTGGCCCCCTACGAGTCCTCAAAGGCTTTAACCGACATCCTGGCTCTGACAGCCGATCTCCCCAGCACAGCACCCTGGGTCAAGAGCTTCTACTCGGTCGGCGAGCAACCAGAACCCCACAAAGAAACAGAACAAGAACCCGCGCACCCAAACATGTTCCTCACACACCCCGGCATCTGCGGCACAGGCATCCTCCCGCTCTCCTGGCCCCTCTTCTACTCCATGCTCGCGGCATTCTGGCTAGCCCGCCTTCTCGGATCCCCCTGGCACACCATCTCCACCTACGCCGGCGCCTGTGCCCCCGTCTGGCTCGCCCTCTCCGCTCAGGCCGTCCTCGACGATGCGGAAGCACCGTACCGGCGCAACGGCGGCGGGAGAGTGAAATGGGGCTCCTCGTGTAACCGTCTCGGTCAGGATCAGCCGGTTTGCACCGAAGTCGATGGGTGGGGGTATGGTGGTGTGGTCGGGCCGGCCGTCCTGGACGGTGACCAGTCCCGTCGCCGGAAGAGGGGCGCGGTGGATCTCACTGCAGAAGAGAAACTGCAGTATGAAGATCTGGGTAGGAAATGCTGGCAGCGCATGGAGGAATTGCGGATTCAGTGGGACGAGCTTCTTGACAAAGCTGAGGCCCAGGCGGGATCCGAGGCATGACCAGCGTTCTAACTCTATTCCATAGGGGCCCTCCTGTACTTTTTCGGGTCTATAGCTTGCTTAATGTGTAATTGTACATCACCGTCTCTCGACATGGTTATTCTGGATTTGCCAGCCGTCGTTCGACAAGGGCCTCACTCTGTATCGATAATAATGCAGACCTGAACATGCTTCGGAACAAGTATCACCTTCATATCTGCCTTCACTATTTACATTCCAAGAAACCCCATGTCCACGTTTATCATTAAATCAGGTGTAGTATTATTCCTTTTTGCCCACCACCCCCGAGGAAGCACAAGCGGAGCACGCAAGAGAACGGAAAGCAAATGATCCACAAGAAGAGAAACACAACAAGAGACAGCTTCGAGCTGGACGAACTGGGAAGATTATATCATCGAATGCGGCTGTTTTCCAAGGAAGACAGGTTGGCGGAAACCGACGAGGATGAAAGTCAGGCGAGGGGAAAGATGAAGATGACTAAAAGGCTCTAACAGAGACAAAAAAAAGAGGCCGACGCAGAGACACGCCTTCACCGTCAAGGCTATGGGAGTGCTGAGCTACGGGATAGGAAGCAAAAGAAGACGTAAAGGTTACTGCACTGTCTGTGCCTGGCGCGAGAAAATCGGAGTGGAGAAGAGGCGTAAAGTATTGCGCCCAAAGACTTGCACCAGACTCAGCCGACCGATGGACCAAGCTTCAGCGACGCTGGAATAGAATCGAAGAAAATGACAACCACAACAACGACTCCGGTTATATGCATCTGGGTGATCGCGAGGTAGGTAGAATCAATGAAGATCGAGGTAAATTAGGACATGTCGGCATTAGAAGGAGGAAATCACATTATAATGGCAGGAACTGTGCAATGCGTTAGTTCTCGCAATCCCCAACGTTCGTAAAACGCGAGTGAAGAAACATACCATCGATGTTCTGCTTGATGCTCTTGTGGGGCAGAATGGAGCCGCCATTGACGTACACCTCGTCTGCAATGGTGACATCGTCACCCAAGACCGTGACATTCTCCAAGCGAGCCCACTTGCCAACAGAGCTGTTCCAGCCGACAATAGTCGACTTGATCCAGGCATGGTCCTTGACCTTGCTGTTCTCCAAGAGCACACAGCGTTGCAGACGCACGCCATCGCCGACCACAACGTTGGGACCAATGACTACATTAGGGCCAATGCGACAGTTCTTGCCGATCTTGGCCGAGGGATCAACCATGACGTTGCCGCCATAGACGTAGGGCTCGCTGTTGGGAGCCAGCAGCTTGGAGTTACGCTTCGCGAGCGAGGTGAGGTAGAGGCAGGTGCCAGTCAGGAAATCTTTGGGTTGACCAACATCCATCCAGAAACCCTCAAGATCAAAGGAGTGGAGCTGACCGTCGCTACAGATGGCGGGGAATGTCTCCTGTTCGATGGAGGTAGGACGCAGCTCAATGCGCTTGAGAACACTGGGGTTGAGGATGTAGATACCGGCGTTAATGCGGTTACCAACGAACTCGACTGGCTTCTCGACGAAACGATCAATGCGGGAGGGATGGTTGGGCTTGTGAACAACGACACCGTACTTCGAGGGCTCGTCGACCTTGGTAACAACGATGGTGCCCTCGTCGCCATGTTTCTTGTGGAACTCTGCGAGCTGCTTGAAGGGATAATCACAGATGATATCGGAGTTGAGGACGAAGAAGGGAGAGTCGTCCTTGCCCAAAATCTTCTCTGCCAGCTTCAGGGGACCAGCGGTACCGAGGGGTTCGGATTCTACGGAGAACTCGATTCTGACGTTGTATTGTTCCTCATACTGCAGACGACAATCACAGATTAGCCACAGGAACATACCAAGCTAACGGAAGAGAAGAGATCGGTGTACCTTCTTGAGGGCCGCGACCATGACATCCGGGCGATAGTTGACGGCCAGAACAATATCTGTGACACCAGCAGCAGCCAAGCTCTCGACCTGGTGCAGGATCATCGGGCGGTTTCCAAATTCCACCAGGGGTTTGGGAAGGGTCAGGGTCTAGCATTGAAACAAAGTTATGTTAGCATCAATTCGAAGTATTAGACAAACACAGGCTTCAACTGCGGGGGAGAGACACTCACCAAAGGGCGCAGACGGGTACCGAACCCTCCGACAAGAATGAGAGCTACACCGAAAGGTTAATCCCAATGAACGCATTGACACTCGGTTGCAAATGGAGAAATCCGTACCCTTCATGATGAAGATTGATTAGATAACGTAACGAAGATAGGTCAAAAAAGAAGAGGTATTAGAAGCTGGCAGAGGTATATGTTTTGGCTTTGCGACGAGTGTCAGGAGTTGAGGACGAGGGGCTGTGGAGGGAAAAGAGGAAAAGGGAAAAAGGAGGCCCCGCGGACAACGAATGTCAAGAAGCAAAGTCGACGACAATTAAGAACCGATTGAATGTGGGTTCTTGAGGTTGCAAGGCGAATCAAGAAGATAGAAGATCTGTAGACAGAGAAAGAAAATAATACTATTATTATAGAAAAGGGTCGAGAAGCAGAAGCTCAAGTCACAGGAACGAACACCTGGCGTTGTTTCTTCCTTAATAACCTAAATAGCAAATGAGGATAACATAACATGATTTTCCCAATTCTGAGCAGGGGCACTACCACTAAAGCAGAACTGCGTACGACGACAGGTCCCAATGGATGGCCAGTCTAGGGACGGAGTACCTTTGGAACCACACTAAGAATGGGTTATGGAACTGTAAGGTACACTTGCTCCGTACTTTGACCCGCTAATTGGCGATTCCACCTGAATCAGTCGATGGCTCGATGCCACTTACCTTGAACAGCCGGTACGAACATGGCGGACAGTTGCACGTTTTCAGCCAGAACGCCACTGGCAGCCGGTAGCAAATCATGTACGGAGTACTCCATACTCTATCCATACTCTGTAGATATATCTCATCTTAAGACTGGCAAGTTTAAAGGGGGGACATAATCTTAGGAAAGGCCCAGAACCACTGCATCAGGTGCTCGGTGGAGCAACCCCAATGCCCCTTGATATTATTTGGTTATATTAATAGGACTATTTCCTGCATATCCAGGACGCAGATGACTGTTCCATATCATTTAGGAACAACGAATGTCAATAACTAAATATGCTGAGTAGCTACTGTGTGACCCTGAACTGAATCTATATGAGATTTTCATTTTATCGCATTTGCGTGTCTGGATCTACAGTGTGGATTTAGGAACTGCGATGATTGGGGTAGCCGCATCGGGCAAGACAGCTGGGGAATATGACACCCCTGAACAATCTATATTGATGCGCTTGGGTTACATGCGAATCCTTCCTTCATTTCAATCTCTTTTCAGATTCTTGGGGATCTTTTCCTAACTCGATACCACGTTCAATCGATCGTCTGCCATGCTTCGTATCAGACTGTTAAATGGTTGTATACCCCTGTTAGGGATAGCTAAGGTATATATATCGTTATCGAGCATTGAGTTGACTACCCGTTGTCAACCTTGGTGCTAGAGACTCTCTCCTCGTCCTTGCATTATCGCGACTTTAGCTCTTGCAGTCCTTCAGCTTCTTCAATAATTGAACAATTCAATTACTCCTGTGTGTCTGGAGGCAAAGGCTGGCCATGTCTCCTTGACGTAAGCGGCCCACCGCCTACTAGATCCGGTGCACGGTCCACAAACAGACGGATCCACTCCCGCACTTTGCACACCTTCATCAGTAATGGCAGATCGCCATGCTTGGTTTCATCTTCTCTGAAGGTTTGCAGGCGCCTTGTACTGTAGATACCTCCTGCGTCCGTTGCGTCAATCCGCTGGCGGTGCAATAAGTCGACCTTTGTTGCCCCCCTGCCCACACTCTGCCCATATACCCGTTCTCGGAACGAGCTCAATCCTACCATGCGCAGGAGAACAATGTCTCGAGGTCGCAGACTAGACAATGACGTTCGAAGCTTCTGAGCCCCCATGTCACATCGGCCAGTAGCAATTTTTTCGTCTCCCAAAGGCAGCCAGAAGGTAACTCCGAATCCTGTTCTTGTCTCGTCGCCCACTACCACTTCCACGAGGTCCAGCTCCCTTTTCCACTGCCGAGTAACTATGCGGCGTGGAGGATGAATTGCGATGATGCCCACAATCAGGTTTACTGTCATTGTCTGAGGCACAATCGATTGTAGATATGTGGCGCTGGGGATATCCTTCAGGTCACTGAGACACCCTCGAATTGCTAGGGAACCCACTTCTGGCGCTTCTCTGTCACTGGACGACGCAACGGATGTTGCTGTACTATCCGTCGATAAGCCACTCTCCTGCATAGAGTCTCCCAGATGCGCTCCAGGTAAAGAGATCTCGCACGTCTCGTGTACTGCAAAGGAATGGTCGTAGAACTGAGAGATTACCGAGTCATCTGGTGAAATTGACGATACGCCATCTAGGGGCGTGAGATCTTGGGTTCTCAAAAATATAGCATGCCTGTCTGGTTCGGAGCAAACGTTTTCTCGTTCTTGCTCTTGAACTTTCAGATCCTGTAACAATCTCCATTTAACAGCATGGGATTCTGAAACAGGCTGGTTCACTTGGTCTTCAACATTTGGACCAGAGAATGGAAATATAGGGTTGTCGAGCAACCCATCCTCCTCCCAACAGAGGCTCTGCGGCGTGGGAGCACCCATGAGGAAAATGAGCTTTGTCGACATTGCTGGTAGGGCTCATGTGAGAGAAGCGCTACAAACAGATGGTCAACGACCATGGCTCGCACACTATATATATATATAAAATCCGTGGGAAGTGGCTCGTAGGGAAGTGCTGCTATGGCTTCGAGCCTAGTTAGTATGATGTGTCCAGGAGAGATGATCCATCACTGGCACAGGAGGAAAGACAATAATGACAGTATGTCGAAGTCTGACAGATCAGTACCACGGATCGCAGATCGACCTACTTAGGTTGTACAAGGCTCTACGTATGGTTCGTTTGCCGACTAAATCAACCTCTTAGACTACTCGGACAAGAGCGTCAATAATAATGATGCGGGTCAGAAAACAACTTACCTACATATTACCGGTTTACTGCCATTATTGCCTTTGGAATTGAGAATCATGGTGGAAGTTGGAATTAAGGAAAAGCACATGTAGTTCTGCCTGAGGCATATAATCACGTGACAAAGCCAGATACGGTCGTCCGTTCAGGCCGCAGTGGCAATATCCATACGAATTTCGCCGCCGCATCCTTGGCCGATTGTCTGCCGGAGAACGAACTACTCCTCATTCCTCATCTTTGCTCGCATTCGCCATCGTTTGAATCTCGTTGGCGATGGCAGTCATCCCGGTCAAAGAATAAGCTATCATCTATATTGTCTTCATACCTGCCATTCTTTGCGTGGTCGACATTGATTGCTGCGGCCTAGTGCCGCTCTGACTCGAGACAACTATGGCTTTCCAAGTTCCGGTCTCAAGACCTGTAAGGGTCCTTACACTTCTTACGCCTCTTATGCCATCTATTCTGACTTTCCCCTCTTCACAGAACCTTGCGGCCGTCACTTCCGATCTCTGGCCATCGATGTCAAAGCTATTAAATGCGCCTTGGACTGGCATCCAACGCACGGCCACCTCCGCATCTCCTACCACCCGACGACTGCACCAGCGGACGCTTGGGGGAAACGAATCAAGTGTATGCTTCTATTGCGCTCATAAGACTTTCCTTAGTCATATATTGACAATAAGCCAGGCAACTGGCCGGATTCCGCTACCTGAGTGCCTGGACACAGTCCCCCTCGAGGCTTTGAACTCGAACGTCATGCAGCGACCTGTCCGACTTGGGTTGTCGCGGACTTCTCTAAGAGGTAAGCTCATTTTATCGACTTCCATGCATATCGGGATACTTACTTTTGCCATTAAAGATTCGCTCTGGAGTTCCGCGACTGTATCCCGCCGTCCTATTGTGTCTCATTTCGCTCGATCGTATTCAACGCTATCCGCCACCCTGAGCCGGACTCGACAGGCTCCGAAAGCCAACGGTCTTTCGAACCTACAACAGCAGCGGTTTATGTTTGGAGGCCCATCTCACGGTCTGTTAGCGCACCAGGAAAAGACCGCGAACAACAACCCAAGCAGTGCCCACGCACAGAATGCTTTCTATCAGACTCTGCTCCGTGCGAACATGCCCGCTATTATTGTCGAACGATACCGCAGCGGTCAATTTGCGAGTAATGCGCTGTCTGAAGCTATTTATCTGAAAGCGTTGCAGCGTGTCGGTGGCGCCGATTCCGCAGCGGCGGCACCCATCCAAGGTCAGAATCAGCATCTCAACCCCGACCAGCTGCAGGCCGTCGGTCAAGCCGTCGCCGCTCGGAATCACGGTAGTCAGATCGGACTGGCAACGAAGCAATCCGGTACTGGTGCTAAGGATAATCCTCTGCATGTGGTTGTCGAAGAGTCGCTGGGCAGCGCTGTCTTTCGATGGGTCAAATTTCTGCTCGTTTTCGGCTTTTTCACTTACATCTCTCTTGTCGTGATCACCATTCTTGTCGAAACAACCGGCGTCTTAAAGAATATCAAGGGTCCGCAGAGCAATGAGGCTCAACCCCAACAGCAAACGGTTCGGTTCTCCGATGTACACGGTTGCGACGAGGCCAAGGAAGAGCTCCAGGAACTTGTCGAATTCTTGTTGAATCCGGAGCGATTCTCTTCCCTCGGTGGCAAATTGCCAAAGGGTGTGCTTCTTGTGGGACCTCCTGGTACGGGAAAGACTTTGCTTGCCCGTGCTGTCGCCGGAGAAGCTGGTGTTCCCTTCTTCTACATGTCTGGTTCCGAATTCGATGAGGTGTATGTGGGTGTCGGCGCCAAACGTGTTCGTGAGCTCTTTGCACAAGCCCGGAGCAAGTCGCCCGCCATCATCTTCATTGACGAATTGGACGCCATTGGTGCCAAGCGGAATGAGAGAGATGCAGCTTATGTGAAGCAGACCCTGAACCAGCTGCTTACGGAGCTTGACGGATTCTCGCAGACCAGTGGAGTCATCATCATCGCCGCAACCAATTTTCCTCAGCTGCTTGACAAGGCTTTGACACGACCTGGCAGATTCGATCGCAAGGTGGTCGTCGATCTTCCGGATGTTCGGGGTCGGATGGACATATTGAAGCATCACCTGAAGAACATTCAGATCAGCACAGATGTCGACGTTGCAGTGCTTGCGCGCGGTACTCCGGGCTTTTCTGGTGCCGATCTGGAGAATCTGGTCAACCAGGCCGCCATTTACGCTAGCAGAAACAAGAAGCCCAAGGTTGGACCCAAGGACCTCGACTGGGCCAAGGACAAGATTATGATGGGCGCAGAGGCTCGCAGCAGGATCATTCAGGATAAGGACAAGCTTTTGACTGCCTACCATGAGGCAGGTCATGCGCTCGTTGCTTATTTCTCTCCTTCGTCTACGCCATTGTACAAAATTACCATTGTTCCCCGCGGAATGGCGCTGGGAGTGACGCACTTCCTGCCTGAGATGGACATGGTTTCCCGGAATTACACCGAGTATCTGTCCGATATCGACGTCTCCATGGGCGGAAAAGCAGCGGAGGAGCTGGTTTTCGGTCCTGACAAGGTCACAAGTGGTATTTCGGCGGTAAGTTCTATCTTCAAACTTCGAAAGTCTGTTCACGATCACTAATGTTCTGCAGGATATTCAACAAGCCACTGAAACCGCGTTCACACTGATTACCAGATTCGGTTACTCCAAGAAACTTGGCAATGTCGATCTGTCGACCAACTATGATAGTCTATCATCTGAAACCAAGCAAGAAATCGAATCCGAAGTGCGACGACTGGTCGAGGAAGCGCGGATGCGTGCCACCAAGATTCTGACTGAACGGAGACACGAACTGGAACTTCTGACCAAGGCACTGATCGAGTACGAGACGCTGACCAAGGAGGAGATGGAGAAGGTCCTGAGAGGCGAGAAACTAGACAAGATGGAGTCCGTCCCATCGGCTCCGCTCAAGCTGCCTGAGGCTCTGCAGACCGCAAAATTGAATCATCCATCCACCCAGGCCGAGGAACCGTCGGCCGCAGCCAAATAATAGGTTTCTCCCTCACGACTTTGTACTCTCCATATGCCTTCCATCACCCACCTCCTCTCTGCCGAAATCAGGCGGCGCGTTTTTGACGGACTCCTTGTTCTCTGTATTTCGATTCCTATTTTCCATATGTTTTCTTTCTTCGTTCCTCGGTCGCGTTTCTGACTTCTTGGTGCTTCTCGTCTTTCGATATGAAGTCTCAAAACAGCAATTGTTGCATATGAGGTGTGGCATATCGGTTTAAGAATGAGCGATCAATGTACTGTATTGCATATACATACTTATAACATATTCATCCGATATCAATGAAGTTGTAAAGTTGGGATTTTGCACATGTGCTTATAAGAAGGGCATCTTGGAATTATATTATTCAAGCAGTTTCCGTAAAAACCTACACTACAACCAAGACACAACAATGATGCTGCGGAAATTCCCGTTTTGATTGATATGTATACAGAGTTATCCGTAAGAAATACGGTTTATATAGGTGTAGTGTAGGAGTATATATATACTGATGATAGCGGGTATCCAAGAAGAGACCTAGACCTCCACCCTAGAAATGGACCTACTGACCACCGAGACCAAGAGAAAGATGCCAAAATGCCATTACCCCAAGAAGATGAAAACGGAAACGCTCAAACGCAAGCACATTGCACACAATCATCACAATATATATATGTACGAAGAGATGTCGTTACTCTTGGCCCTCGGACTCGATCTCGCTCGTGTCCAGCCAGCCTCGGGACATCTCGACGGCCTTGGACCACTGCTTGTACATCCGTGCGCTCTGCGCGGGCGAGATGCGGGGTGTGAAGGAGGTGCGGTTGGCGCGGTTCATGTTCTTGAGCTCACTGAATTCCTTCCAGACGTCGATGGCGAACCCGGCAGCGATGGCGGCGCCCAGCGCGGTGGTCTCGTGCATGGCGGGGCGTTCGACGGGGATTTGGATGATGTCGGCTTGTGTCTATACAAGTAAAGGAATGTCAGTTTCACTGGTATCCATGATACGGGAAGCTTTCTTTCTTTCAGAGACGTACCTGCATGCAAATGTCGGAATTACTCATCCCGCCGTCCACGGCCAATTCCGACAATTTGTGTCCGCTGTCCCTTGCCATGGCATCGAGAATAGCCTTCGTCTGGAAGCAGGCTGCTTCCATGGTCGCGCGAGCAATATGTCCGCGCTGCGTGTGCTGTGTGATACCAACTTCGTAGAAGGTTAGCAATCCAACTCCATTGAAGGGTAAAATGCGTTCAAATCCTTACAGATGGTTCCCTTGGCATCATCAATCCAGTAGGGAGCAAACAGACCACTGAAGGCAGTGACAAAAACGCAACCTCCGCTGTCGGGAACAGTAGCGGCAAGATCACTGACTTTGCGCGAATCGCGGAAGAATCCGAGGTTGTTCATGAGGAAGGAGATACCACTTCCGGCGACAGCAACACTTCCTTCAAGGGCATACACCGGCTTTCGATCTTTACCCAGTTGGAAGCCAACGGTGGCAAGCAAGCCGTGTTTCGAGATTACGGGTTTCTCACCGACGTTGTAGAGCAGGAAGCAACCGGTGCCATATGTGTTTTTCGCTGTGCCCGGTGTAAAGGCGCAGTGACCGACTAAAGCTGCGGACTGATCGCCCAAGCAACTCGTGATCGGCACTCCGTCAAGAGGTCCAAACCGGACATATCCATAGCCCTCAGGGTCTGACGAAGGGAGAATCTTGGGGAGCCTGATCTTCTTCCTGTCGATACCAAAGAACTTCAGCAGTTTATCATCATATTGCAGGGTTTCGAGATTCATGAACATCGTTCTGGATGCGTTGGTAACGTCGGTGACATGACGACCAGCTTCGGGCCCGCCGTTGAGGTTGTACAGAAGCCACGAGTCAACAGTTCCAAAAGCAAGTCGTCCTTCGTCATAAGCCTGCTTAACTTTGGGGCTATGGCGAAGAAGCCATACTAGTGAGACAGAAGAAGGGTATGTGGAGAGAGGTAGACCGCAGATAGCCGGTAGTTCATCCGACCCCTCTTGCCCTTTGAGCTCTCGAACCAGATTCTTGGTTCTGGTATCAGGCCATGCGATCGCGTTGTGTAACGGTTCGCCGGTTTCCCAATCCCAGCAAAGTGTTGTCTCTCGTTGGCTGGTAATCCCAATGGCTTCAATATCTGATTTGCTGTGGCCCAAAGCCAGGAAAGTCTTCATCGCTTCTTCAATGCATGTGTAAACGGAATCCACGAGTTCGAGGGGATCATGTTCGTGCCATCTAAAGGAGGGGACAAGAGAATGGTTAAGTACAATCCACAAAGCAGCGAAAACCGCACTGGAGCGGCTGACTAGCAATATACCTAGCCACAAGGACGGAATTGAACTTACCCTGAATGCTCGTGGATCTGGCGAAATTCAGTCTGATACTTGGCCACAGGAACACCTGTGCAATCGAAGATAATAAATCGTGAACTCGTAGTACCCTGATCGATAGCACCAATGAAGCGGTCTTTCAGGTTGTCGCCTCGGCGATTTTCATTTTGAAGTAGCGAGCGGTTGCCGTCATGCGATTGATAGGCGGAAATATCAATGTGCGCTTGTTGCTCTTCGACAGCATTATCGAGCTCGGTCAGATCGAAAGGGTTCCTCATTGTGCCGGTTGCAGTGGGTTGATGTTATATATAGAGAGTGTGGTGAGAGAGATGTATATAAATCTGTCGTCTTCTTCCTTTCCTAAAGTGGCCAGTGGAAAGGTAGATGGCAAGCGAGGTTGAGGAGATTGGGGATTGGGGATTGGTGCAATAGTAAGGTAGTAGTAGTATGGTGGTAGTAGGAACGGGACTGGTGGGAAAATTTACAGTCCCTAATCTGGTCTAACTCCAATCTATAAGACAGCGAGAGTGATGGAAGATAGGAAGGGAGAGAGAGAGTAGAGCCGGGAGACGCAAAAAGGGTCGATCTCAATCTACAAATGAGGAGAGGTGGCGGTGCGTAGTACGCGGGGGCGAAAGACACTCTTCTTGGTCAACTTTGAATAAAAGAAGAGTCAAGACTGGGTTTGGTGACGTATAGGTGACTCTCGGGGCGGGGAGGAGGAGGGGTGACGGTGGTTGAAGATCGGAGGATATTCGGGTGGAGCGTGGAATAAGGCAGAAGAGGATCTTAAGAGGATGCCTTTTCCTGTTGTGTACCTCTTTACCCCTCGGTAGGCGCTCTGAATTATGATGATGATGGTGATGATGTCGGAATAATTAAAATATTATGGAGAGCCAGTTGGAGGATCCGGTTTGACTGGTGAGAAGACAGGACTGGGACAAGAAAAACGATGAGGTCACCGGTTGGGTAATTGAGTGTGGTTTATTCGGCGGAGATGTGGGGTGGAGGAGTTCAGATTAGAGAGGTGATGATTAGTAGTAGTTATTAGAACGTAGAAGGAAGAGACAGAGGAGGGGATGATAAGAAGAAGGAAGAGATCAATCAATTGTTCCATAGACACACATCAGGACGTGGGAGACTCTTTATCCCAGAGGGTGGATCTTGTTTTGGGAGGAGAAAGGAAGAATTAAATTTATTTTTTTTCTACAAGCCCGTGCTTTACCTACAGGCTTACAGGAGGAGGACTAGATCAGGTACCATACAGAAGTAGAACAATCTGTAAGTCTTCTCTGTAGGGACTGCCCTGGCTTCAGGATAAAAGGCAGGAGAAAGTCCCTCCATTCATCCATGGCGGAGAAGTGGGTGCGTGGGGAAAAATCCTATTCTCTGCCTCTTGTTAACTTGAATCTGTTTAAGCTAGTTTTTTTTTTTCTGATCAGACGACCATTTGACTTCGTCAGCGTTGACAGTTCCCCTTTCTTAGGGATCTAGTCCAGTACCTGTACCCTACTGGTTGCTACTATCCCCTTACTTCGTCCCAATCCTCTCTTGTCGTCGTTTGTCTTATTCTCATCTGAACTCTTTGTGCTTAGTCTCTAGCTTATTTCCTACCTCTGAATGCTATTTTCTTGGGTGTGGTTACAGACCTTTAGATGCTCCAGGTCAGAATCGGCAAGGTACCCGAAATCCGATATGGAACTCTAGACCTTCTGGACGCATTTCTGAACCCAGCGAGATACCCCATCAAAGCCGCTAAGAATAGTTTCGGACTTGCACATGACACCGATCCAGACCCATCGGCCTTGTAGTAAAGTTCCATAGACTTCTTTCCTAGGATCATCACTATTATCCTGCCTACCCCAAAAATCATATATCATCGAGCGACTGCTCAAGCAGTCAAGCCCAAAATTCTAGGTTTATTAAATAAGCTCATTTACAAACTCAATTCAGTCAAAGTCGGAAGAGATAGGTACATCTTTAAGCCGAAAGTCCATTGACCTTTTCCAGTCGATGAATGCGACTAGTCTTGGACTGCAGCGTGCAGGCTCATGCAGATCCAGCACGGAGTTCTGGAACTCATCCCTTTACTACCAGTCTACCATACTCCAAAAAAGACCATAAAACCTGCACAGAGAACAGAAGGGGACCCTCCTGTTCGCGTACTCCGCTATCATCCTCTGGATAAATTGTCGATCGAGCACATGTGCCACATGACAGTAGTCAATTTTCTTCTCGTCCGAATATCTAGTACTATGATATGATCTAGACCCCCAATTCAATTAATAATTCCTTGCTACTTGGTCTGTAGATTTACGTACCCATTATAGCATCCCCCGATTGGACATGCTCTTTATTCCGTACATCGGCATTTATCCCCTGTTGTAGAATCTAGATTGCTTCCGGACAGAGAAGATCCAAATAAGCTTGGGAGATATCCCGCGCGGCGAAGGGTCTAGGGACGGTGGCAGGCTGGCAGCTCGTCCAGCGCTGTGATTTATGGAGAAATTTTTCTCAAATCCGGATACTCGGTTCGGCTACTTTAGTCTTGGTTTACTCTGTACCTCTGGAGAGCCGGAAGATTTGGGTTGAACAGAGCAACTGTACGATGCTCAGGCACCAAGATATCTAGATATTGATTTTAGCCATAAATATGGGCGATAATGATGTCGTTGATAATGCCCATTACGGTACTACCAGTAGAAGTGTAGTTATGGCCCAGATAGTGGGCGGATTGTGACGTCTTCGACCAGACTTAACCTGCTACTCCGACGTCTCTTCTCTCTTCCCTTTTGCCTCTTTGGATCATTATTCTGCACCCAATGCCAAGAAACGACCTGTTCCACCTTTGGATGATTGCGCAAACACATCGACTATTGACACTGCAAGGGTAGATCGTGCAGTCCATCATGAATAGCCTCGTGATACTTGAGTGAAGATGGTGCTAGACCAACTTTAAACAAGAAATAGACAAAAAGAAAAGAAGGAAAGAATGCGGCACTGGCACTGTACTAGCAGTAGCAGCAGATGCACAGTTCGGCCTAGTTGGCCAAAACGGACGGTAGAATGGGACCTACAGGCAGTCAGGCACTCATGGGACGGAATCGTTGTTCTCTCTTAAGCGGGCCGAGTCCGACATACCTTCCGCACTTAGCTTTGGACTTTGGGGGTTGGGCTGAGTGCCTGTATGCCAACCCTCACGCCCCTCACACTATGGTCTTGTTCCGAGGCTTTCATAGTATCGAGAAAAACTGTCCCTTCTGACCTTACAAGGTCGTTGCTTCCTGCAATTGCAACAGCAACTCGTCATCGAGCTTTTTCGACTGATCACGCAATATGTCTTTAATTTTTCGTGTCATTCTATATCTCTTCTGGAAAGGTAATTATGCTCTGTAGCTTTAGATTTAATTGCACCAATCAAAGAGAAGTTTGGAATTCTCCAGACTAATGCGTCTTGACGCTACTCCGTACCCCTCTTCAGCTTAATCCAGCAAGTTTCGAGAACCCACCGAATAAGTCTAACCTGTTCATATACAGTCCAATAGAAATTCAAACAAAAGAAAGTACCAGCGTCCGCCAGGTCATTGAATTCGCATGTAATCTACAGAAACTCGATCAAAACGATGCGACGTCTTTCCTACTGTCACATTGAGCTGCCACAGGCAGCCCAGGATATCACCCAACCCCTCAATAGGTCATATCATGTGCTATGAGCATCTCAAAATGCACAGAGTATCACATGTATCCCGCAAGTCTATCATTTACTCAGACTCCTCCTCGCCGAGCTCGGCGCGGCGGCGAGCATTAGCCTCTTCCTTCTCCTTCTTCTGCAGGAAGAGCAGCGCGTTGATCTTGTCGGTGATCGTGTGCTCAGTGCTGATGGTGTTGGCGATCTGCTCACGGCCGATCAAGCTGGCCACGATGCTGGCTCCGACAACGAAGGTCAGGACAAAGCGGTACATGCCGTACCAGTGGGGAGCACGGCCGTGGGCAGCAGCGCGGGCGTCATTGTAGTACAGGAAGGTGAAGGCGAGGAACTGGCTGATCAGGGCATATTCGACGGGGAGCAGCAGGGTGGGCCAGGCAACAGCGGGGGCGATGACACCGGCAGCGTAGCGCCTGTAACCGTGCTTGCCACCGTATCCGGCCCATTCAAGACCCCAGTGAACAGCTCCAAGGAAGGAGAGAATCTTGAGGGTCGCTTCGCGTCAGATAGGGAGCTTGACAGCAGGATAAATTCAAACTCACCACAGCACCATAGCCGACCTGGATAGGCTCGAGCATGTGAAGCATCAGCTCGGCAGTCTGGCCGGAGAAAATGAGGCCATCACCGGTGGCGGTAGCACGGTTGATCTCGTAGGAAAGGTAGACAGTCTCGAGGGAAGTAGCGAGGTAGGGGATGACACCAGCCATTCCGAGGTAGAGAGCCTCCTTGGGGGTTCCCTCAAGGCTAAAAGTGTCCTTGATGACTTTCTGAAGGTCGTCAAACGCCAAGGTTTAGTGATATATCCCATACATAACATAGGTACGGCAGGCTCCCGTCATGAATGCCGGCCGGACGTATCGAACTTACCGCTTCGGTCTTGATACCCGCCATCATGTCATGGTCCTCCTCGGCAACCTTGGCTTCCTGCAAACAAACATCAGCAATTGACCAGAACTCACAACATGAGCGGCACTGGCCTTGGGGACGTTGGTAGAGCCCGGGACGCTGGAGGCATAGCGGACGAGGGCAGTGGTGACGGGCTTGCGGGTAGTCAGGGCCAAGCTGGATGCGCGAGCGGGAAAACGAGCGGAGGATGTCAGGTGAGCCTTGAACACATTGTTGGAGAAAGTCGAGCGGGCGACCGAAGCATTGGAGCTAGAGATAGCCCTGAGCACAGAGCGGGCAACCGAGTTTCTGTAGAGCATGGTGGACTGGGGTAGCTAATTTTTTCCGGTGTTTGGTTAGTGATGAGGTCTGGAAAGCTCGGATAGCCGGGATATAGCCGGCAGAGGACCCAATTGAGGCTGGAAAGTGCTACAAAATGGCTCTAAAGATAGAGGCAAGGCTGTTTACCTGATGCTTTACCGAGCTGAACTCGTAAGAGTGGAGATTTTGTGGTCGTGGAAGCAGTCAATCCTGAGGGCCGGGAATGAAGTGATACAATGATGAGGTGTGGTAACGTCTGGCTTCGGCACACCATACAGACCAATCCCGTAACTGTCATTGGCAATTATTGCCTCAGGCATTAAATCGTTCAGTGACCTCCGGATCAAAATAGACGCCATAACGGGA